AGCAGTGAAAATCCCCAACAGCTGTTACATCCTTAGTTTGATCTTCCCACCAAGCAGTCCCCAAAATCTACCAGCACATACATCACGGAACTCCACGAGGCCTTGCTCCCCTAATTCGCTAACACATGCGTAGGATGAAGCCGACTGCAAGAAGAGCTGGGCCAAGCACATCTCCTCGCTGCGAAACATGGTCTCCTGTTTCCAGAAGAGACTGTAAGACAAAATGGCTTCATTAGCAGGCATTAACTCCCCCAAACCGCTACCTATTCTTAGTGGAGGCTGGATGGATGCGTGTGTGTCGGGAGTCTTTTTACAATAGCTGTTGTCCTAAGAACATGGGTGACCAAGGAATAAGACTAGGAAATAGTGACAAAAAGAGAGAGGTACAAAGACCGAGAAGGGGTGAGGAACAGAGAACCCACCAACGGGAGAAATAGGCAAAATCAAAATGTTGACTCCATCAATTAAGGAAAGCTAAGACAGATGTTTGGTCATGAATACTGAAGTATCTACTGGCCATTAGGATTGCACCAGTCAGGATTCAGAGGCTGCAGTGGCCTAAGGGGAGTGGGAATTGCTTACCTCTGGATACTCCAAATGCAGGAAAGCAGAAAACGGGTTTCTCCTTCGGGGCTCCAGCCAGACACAGCCCTAAATTAAATCTCTGCCATCCTGATGGCTTGCTGAAACTTGCTTCTGAATCACGTGAGGCTTTTCTTCTGCTCTGGGATTGCAACACAGTTTCCAGGTCAGGCCACGACCACTCATTTCACAACACGCCTCTGACTCAGGCTTCTCTATTGCTCATAATGGGATTAAAATATCCTGAGACGGCAGTTCTGGCCTTAGACCTGGACTGGAGGAAACTGCAAAGAGATAATTTCAGCTGTTGGAGGAGACCCAGCATGATGCCCGTTTTGGAGAAAAGGGCGGGGGTGGGGGGAGAGGAGGAGAAAAAGACAAGGCACAATAATCAATGAAGAACAAAAATATATTTCTTTAAATTTCATTTCATCCCCAGGGATTGGCGTTTGCCCTCTGCAATGAGAAAGTGACCTGGGTAGAAGATGGCTTGCTCTGGGGACTGAGATAACAAAGAGGAGCCCACAAGTCTGGGAAAACCACATAGTTGCAACAGTTGCAGACATTACACCCTGAACACTACAGGCTGGTTTGCCTGGAAGCAAGTGGGTTATAATTAGAACAATGAATGAATTAAGTCAGCCGAATATGACTACAACATTACCTTTCTGCACAACATCGAATATTCTAGATTACTGTGTAGGCCATCTTTAGCCATTGTTCTCCAGCAAAAAATGGGCGTAAGAAGACCAGATATTGCCACTCTTTCAAAGTGTCATATCCAAGCCTGCAGGTCCACTACAAGCATAAACTTATTAGGAGAATTACCCTGATTTTAGAAAGATTCCTGGGCTACAGCTGAAGTGAATAGGGCTTCTATTAAGGGCTGCATCATTGTATTGGAGAAAGGGATTTTGCTCTGCGAAGGCACGAATGGGCACCTACTTTCATGCATTCATCAGTGCCAACCACCAACTGAAATTCCACCACCAAAATCTGCAATACTGCATCTATACAGAAAGGGATCTGAAAATCACTGTTCCATCCATGGTAGAATACTGTGATCCCCAGGGATGGGGGGGGGGGGAAACAAACCTGCATCCACACCCTCCCCGCCAAAAAAGACTGCAGATTTGACCATAAAAAGTAATTGCTTTCTTTAAGAAAGTTGATGTTTCAGAGAGGTAGTTTCTCTACTCTATAATCTGCAGCTACTACGGAGCATGGATCGGCTGTCAGATGTGATGCTCTCAATCTCATCATTCTATAACAGAATTAAAATATCCTGCTCCAGAAGGGATGTATTAATTGTATGGCAGAGCAGTGGATCACCCCTGGGCTTATGGCAAGTTTTGTACTGAGTCCCGAGAACAAACAAGGATTGCATATTCTGTGCAATTTTGGGGATTTCATCTTGCACTAAAAATAATGCAAAGGATTTGTATCAATAAGGCATTATTGCAAGGAGCTTTGAAATAGGTTTTGTCTTGATAACCTCATCTTTATTACTTTTATAAATAACTCAAGGTGCGAAGATACCAAATACTCTTTCCTCCTTTTATTTTCCCCACAACAAACCTGTGAAATGAATTGGGTTAAGAAAGAGTGACTTGCCCAAAGTCAGCCAGCCAGTTCTTATGCCTAAAGCAGGACTAGAACTCAGTCTCCTAGTTTCTAGGCCAGCATCTTCACCACTACACCAAACTAATTCTCATGAAACTCAAAGTTAAATGACTAAGTCATCATGCTAACATTATATTTAGCGTGCATGCGCACGCACAACCCCCCCCCCACACACAATGGCATAGTTAAATGATACACATGGCAATTTTTTTTTAAGTATGGTGCAAATTTTTGATTACATCTATCATTCTATGTTAAACCTCAGAATATAACTAGATTGAACTGTGTCTGAGCAGTATTGAGAGGTTTGTTTGTATCAGAACTATGCAAAACATTTGGAAGGTATTTTATTAACAATATTGGTGGGAACAAAACACCCTTCCTTGATGTGTGCAGTAAACCTCATCTCCTGGAGAGCATGCATGTGCAATTTTTGCTAGCAGTCCCATATGCATGCCCAGATAACCTGCAAAAGTTTTCTTTACAGCAATAGTGATAGCTGCCTCACTTGAGAGAAAAATTTTACAAGATGTTTTATAGATGGCATTTAGATCCTAAAAAGTTGGCTTCTATGTATCCGAACTTACAACCCAAATGCTGGCGATGTGATTCTCTTGACACTACATATTTTCATATATGGTGANCCTAATTAACTGCCCCTTCATGCCTGATATTCGTATCAGTAATGACATCCAAGATCCTTCAGACAATATAATATTCAATTTTTTTCTGCATATATTTTTCAATGCTTTTTTATTAGGGAATATTTGTGTAGATACATATGGTAACTGAGCTAAATGTTGGAAATAACCATTTGATTGCAAATCTGACTCATCACCAATTACACAGAATACAAGTTACATTTTTTCCCCAGCCACTAAACATCTTTTGACTTCCTTTTTTCCATGTCTCATGACCTATTTTAGGAGATTTAATTATACTGATTCATTTCCATGAAAGCGTTTTGGCAAGGATGTTCTATAGATAATGAGAGCAGCTAATGAAAAGATCTCTCATGTATGTGTGTGTGTGTGTCCCTCCCACCCTCACATACACACACATACACACACAAAAGGAAAACAGTAAATATTCAGAAAATGAAACTTGAGATATTGAGTGGAAATTTGAACAGATTCCCAACTAAGGAGGTAACATAATTTCTGCAGAAAACAAATAATTCAGAAATTTATAGATGCTTGAAACAATGTTTTTATTTGACCATGATCAATGCTTCAATGTGACTGAAACTATCTCATACAGGTACTCCTCGACTTACAACCTGTTGCTTAGTGACCATTCAAAGTCATGATGGATCTTGCAAAAGGTACTTACAATTCACTTCCACAGTTCCAATGGCTGGGCATTCCCCTAAAAAGCGCTTGAAATGCATGACCTGACAATGGTTGGGGTCATGTCTTGACCATAATGTCTCCCCCTTCTTTTGATGTGGCATAATTATGTTGACAATATTTTATTTTACTATTTTATTTTTGTTCATCATGCGGTCAGCCAGATGTTCAGATTGGATTTGGCATTTTTGTCCAGCTATAGAATCTTTCCCGAAGACCTGGGACAGGCAGATTTGGATGTTTGATGGTGTTACAGATATCATCGCAGGATGTAGCTGCCTTTTGCAATTGACCGATGGTGAATTTGTCAAAGCCAATAGTGTTCAAGAGGTGCTCCAAGTGTTTTGGCATTGCACCCAGGGTGCCTAAAGTACCGCTTGAACGCCAGTGTCATTGAGGCAACTACAACTATTTCAACTACTACTTTAAACAAACATCAGCATTCAATTGCTGAACTTAGGACTGAACTGGGAGGGGAAAATAATCTTGTGTTCTCTCAGACCCAGTGCAACCCCAAATGGTGTTCAGGTTTTGCACTCAATGCCGATTGTGTTCCAAGTGGTGCTCCAAATGTCTTGGGTGCAACCCTAAAACAATTGGATCACCATTTGAACACCGTTGGCATTGTCAATTTTTATTTTTACAATGTAAGTACATGGCCAGTCTCAACTCAGAACAGTTTAGAATTTCTGCCAGCTTCTCTAGTGAGTTGTAGGAAACAGTGTTCAAAAATGGAAACATCTGACCTCCTGTGGGCTAGGGTCAGACCCATCTACCTTCTCCTCGGCAGCCAAAGGAAAGCTGGTCTATTCTCAGTTTCAGTGTAGGAAATAGTTGAAAAATGAAAAAGAATGGGCAAGGATCCACAATTCATGACTAATTCATCTAACACCAGAGAGATCCAATTGTTATGCCATCTGCAACTACAGCAGCTCATTTAGTCACTTGCAGCACAACTTACTATAGAGGGTTGTTGAAGGAGGATGGAGCATTACGAATATAGTTGAGTTCCTGAACAAAGATGGGAGGTACACACATGTGCCTGTTTGTGTGGATTGGAAGGAGCATGCAATGCAATAACAATATTGAGGCTTTTCTTCATGCACCTTAAATTTGTTGCTTCTTTAAGAGCCATATGATGAGTCAATTCCTTACTGCTGGGTGAGGGAGGAGGGAAGGTGAGACTGGCAGGAAATGGTCACTGTAATGTTCAAAATGACTATCAGATGACCACAGCTGCAGCCTGAAGCAACCACAGTTTCCCCAAATTTCATTCCCTCAAGAGTATTGGTTCCGGATTTGGGGCACATTCTGTAAGTTAGCCACCTTGGTTCAAAAATTGTTGCCCTACGATGCACCATTTCACTTTGTTAATGGTATTGACAAAGTTTTAGTAGTATATAGATCAGGGGTCGGCAACAATGGCAACTTTATGACCTGTGGACTTCAACTCCCAGAATTCCTGAACCAGAAGCAGGGCTTGACTTGAGTATTAACATTGTCATCGTAGGTGATGTGCCTGTGAAGAGAACCATATTTTGGAATCCATTCCATGTTATGGCATCTCTATTGGAAGAGGCAAAAACAGCATTTTTTAATTTTTTATTTATTTATATGGTTTCTGTAATCGCCCATCTCAGCAAATTACTCTGGCGGCTCACAATTCAGGATTTTCTCAGGATGCCAGAATGTGGACAACTCCTTGTAGGAATATAATTGAAACTCACATCAGAATGTGTAAAAGCTTCAGATGAGTTGCTTTATATAAATTACCAATCTATAATAATTTGAATAAATGTAAAGCTATACTGATTTGAAAAGCTAAAATATTATCTAACTATGAAATGAGGTTATTTAAGTTGATAGGAGTAGTATTTATATTATGAGTAACCTGGCATTGGTTTTGGATACTTTGCTCATATCTCAGACATAGCTTCCATCTAATTTAGTCCTTTTAACTTTTCAAACCATTTTTATGTTCTTTATTCCTTCTATAAATTTACATTTCTGAGAAGCTTTTTTGTCTTAAGCCAATGTGTGGTTTAGTTGTATTGTAATATCTTCCCCAATATTCTAGTTCCTGTGTCCCCCAAGCAAATGCAATCTGGATGGAGATACTGCTCCTGTAGAAGGCATATGTTATGACCAGAGGTGGTATTCAGCTAATTCGCACCAGTTCACCTGAACCGGTGGCAGAAATTTTGCCCAGTTCAGCAAACTGATAGCAATAGCCAGCTGGCCATGCCCCCCGAACTGGTTTCACACCCTGACCTCCCAGTCGCTGCTCGCTCACCCCGCCCAGTCGCTGCTCGCTCGCCCCTTGGACTTGCAAGGCAATGGCATGTGCATGCGCGAAGAACATGGCAGCGATGGAAGCAGCTTTTTCACTGACTGGAGGACTTTTCAGTGATCTGCTGCCAGCCATCACTTCTTTAAGAGCCACTTTGCAAAGCGGCTCTCAAAGAGGTGGCAGCTGTGAGGCTTTTTTGTCAGCCAGCCACTTCCTAGCAGCAGCAGCGACTGGCTGGCGGCCATCAAAAATTCCAGTCAGCTTGCCTTCCAGACTCTGGACCAGCTGCCACAGAAGATGAGCAACCAAAGAGGCGGGGGGGGGAGGAAGTGGGGCTAAGGCTGGGCGCCAAAGGAGGGGAAACGGGGGCAACTGGCAAAGGGGGGGGGGGAGATAGGGGGAAAT